CAACGTGTAACTTATAATTATTGCTAGGATTATGCCACCGCCTTGGAATTATAAACAGGACCGCCACTATTAGCTGGGCCAGACGCTCCTATTTCCACGTCCTATTTAGGAGGGAGAGCATATAATCCATCCTCACACTAAAGTTGAAAACACGGTCGTTATTTGAATTTACACAAGCAGGATACCACAATTTTCCAAAACTCATATCCGCCGAACCCTTTATAAAAGACTTGAGTTTCCGATCGTTCGTACACTATGACGTCCGTTTTTTCACTGTGCCATTTCCTACCTACTTCTGAATTTGCTCTGCCCTGAAGATGTTGAATACTTGCGTGAACTGGACAACCAAGTTAAGTGCGCTCATAATGCCCTCCTACTAGATTAGAATCATGGAGGTATGAGGGCGAACATTTTTCGGACTACCTCACACGCTGGCTTATGTGAGAATGATGAAACATTGGTAAGTTGTACCTACATATATCCTCGAACAGAAAACCACGTGTCCTGTGAGTAACGTCTGACGACTTTAAGAAGTGTGACTGCCTCTGGACCAAACAGACGAAGTGAAGATGGAACTATTGCCTGCGATAATACTCGTCGAAGCGTCCCTTTCCACTTTCCTAATTCCACCTAACTTCTAGAATCTTGTGTAACGTGAAGAAACAGTTCAGACAGAAAGAGTTAAAGAGTCAACTGCCATGGCTGGAAACGTCTGGAGTCAGTTGCCGGATCTGATGCAGGTGTGGACAGAGCAAATACATTGGGATAACTTCTCCGAACGCGAATGGCCGAAAACGTAGCAACCACGAGGATGAGGAGGATAATGCTAACTCTCAGATCGCAGCGCATTAAATGGGGCCCAACCCCACCTTCAAGTTGAATGAAGCCGAAATGCTCTCCAGAGATGACAACTGCCTGACCCATGAGCTTTTTGGATCATGGTTCTCCGGCCTGAACAAGCACAGTGAACTTCCGCCTTCATATTCTGCGCTGTGATATTCTTTAGGAAAAATTGCCACACGAGAAGGATGCAGGTAACCAGCAGTCCGGGTCTCAGCGGGCCAAATGACCGAGTAATCGTCACGCCAAGAATCGACAACGGCCATGATATTACGGTTCTGGAACGAACCGGCCGGCAAACATCGCATCGTCTACGACCCGCCCCCCCTCCAGCAATGAGTACAAAGAATACCAAATATAGTAGGCCTGTGGTCGCCTGGCAACCATGCCCTATAAATACTTTGCCATTTGTATTCTTTATTACTCTTTCCTTCAACTGTCTATGATGATGAGTTCGAGAGAGCACCCGAAACATAATGCTCTCGTCCATGTGCTCATGTGCCTTTCTCTGCAGTTTTTTCCCGAAACTCGTCCCCCTGCGCTTCCATTTAATTCCTCCCCTTGTCCGGATTTCTTTTTTCACCTTATACTGTTAAGGTCTCATTACGAAGGATGATACACGTATGTTTCTTTCATTCGACTTATCCAGTAAATTGCGACATGTTATTTGAACGTTTCTGTGGGGAACTTAAACTCTGACACCCACAAATGAAGGATTCTTGTGTCAAGTTGGAATCCCATTAGTTCGGACAGTGGTTTCAGTTATCCAGTTTTTACTGCAAATGGCAAACCATCCAACAATTTTATTTTCTACGGTACATATGGAGGTGGAGCCCTGTTCCGTTTCTCGGTTGATATTTTCTTCTAATTTTACAACACTCGGGACTCAAACTCTCTGAAAACTAAACAAAGATTTCGCTTATCAACAGCCTGGAAAGGGACGATGAGGGGTCATTTCAAGTGGAGATAAGACCATATTCTACAAGGAGAATAGCATGTAGCAACCTATTGATTGATTAATGATAGAGTTTCCCATTCAAAATTATCACTAAGAACCGTACAAAGTCCCTCGACAAAACTAAAAACCTCGAAGTTCTGTTGAAAATGTATCCAAGCAGTTCGAGGTCCATGAACATCAATCATAGCTGGACATTGTTTCGTCCGCACATACTGCTAATCTTGTAGAAGAACTATTAGGTGAAGTATCAAATAATGATTCCTGTATACTGCTTACCGGCATTTTAGTTTTTCCCAGACAGGAGTAATTTTCCTGGTGCAATACATTTTCAAAACTCAATCAGGCCGTGAATCTCTTAAGATGCCTGTATAATTGTTAACGTACCTTACCCTAAAATAAGCATGCAAGATGAGTACTTCATCACTTTCTTCACCTCCCTCCCTCTCTTTGCAGCCAAATGACCTCTCAGAGAATTTGCTGCAGTGGGAAAACCCGCACTTCACCTCTCTCGATCCCAACCATCCGCCTGTGGTTCTTAATGGCCAGGATGCCTTCACTTATATAGCTGGTGTCAGTCCTGACTACCTGCGCATTCTGCGAACTCACATGCCGGATTGGGGCGGCAAAATGCACTGGGAGGGAACCCTCTTCAGTCCGCGGAAAAGTGCCTATATTGAGGGTAAGTCTACCCGACTCTCATCCTAATTGTGGCGGAAGTGATCAAAAAATATCAAATTAAATAAGATTAGGTTTTTTTAATATGCTAAAGTAGAACAAAATTCGATCAAAATAAACTTCTGTTGCGCAGGTTACGAAAGCTAATCGAGGGAAATTCGACCTTATGTAGGCGGAATTGAACGTAAAAGTGGAAATTCGTCCTCCTATTGGTGGAATTTAAAGTTGTCATTCAAGGTCGGGCTACCGAACATTTAAGTGTAATTTTTTATTATAAGTCGACGGGATTTTTGGGGCCTTTAAACTCAATCCTGCCCCCAAATCCACAGAATTATGTGCTGTGTTAGGCCGGAGACTTGATGTCTGTAAGAAGAGTATTATTCACCTGACACACACACACACA